GCCAAGTGACGCAATTTTCATCGAGGTAGGTGATGAGTGAATAAAGTGAACGGTGGCTAACTGGAGACCTCGCATGAGAGCAGAAAAGCCTGACCGGAAGACTTGCTCACATAGGTCGTGTTGAGCTTCCTGGATGGGGATTTTAGCGATCATTGTAATCGATGGTTAGAGACACTTTTATGGCTGAATGTGATAAACAGAAGCACTCGTGCATCTAACCATTGGTCCTGCAACCTTAGTCTACATTTTCAGTTTGAAACTGCGCTAAACATTCCGATTTTCCTTCAATCCCTTGATTCAACTGGGCAAACAAAACTGCAGCGCGAAGGTGCATGGTTGTTCAAAACTGAAACTGGAGAACTCGTCACCTATCCTAACGTTTCTTGCTGCACATCGGTCGCTGAAAGTAGCCCGGTTACTTACTTGGTTAGTGCAGCTGGTCGAAAAATTCGGACAACTTGAAAACGTCGGTTGCAACTTTTGTTTTGACTGGTTGTGCAATGTACTCTGAGAAATAACAATGGTATAAACGTGACAGACGATTTGAGATTCAGTTATAGCGGTAGTTCACTATTGGTTCGTCCGCTGCTCGTTGGACGAATTATGTGGACATCAGCAATTTAAGAGGCATAATTGGACAGCCCTCCCAGTCAGAGCCTTTACACTTACGAGACAGCACTTGAACGTGAGGGTGGCCGTTTTTTCGCTGACCAGCTCGTGAATTCCTCCACTGCAGAAGGCGTACTTAGAGACCCTCCAAGGAATGTTATTCTAACCTAAAAACACCAAACAGTTACTCCATAAGAAAGAGGGCAATTTTATCCCCGACAAAAACTTGTTGTACGATATATTCCAACCATGAGGAACTGACCCACAAAATTAGCAGATGACAAATTCTACATATCATTCGGAATGGCTTCACGAATCAAAGTTGATAACTGTTCGCATACTTTTTGGTTTTGGACGAATCACATGACATCAATGCTCAGCAAAACAGTTGCAAACGTAAAAGCAAAGGACGAGCACAACCACAAACTCACCTGAAGCAGCGCCAAGTGATCGCGCCAGGGTGAATTAAAACAAATCGATTTCTCTAGGTCAGTTTATTATCCAATGTCCAATGTCTAGTTTACAGGCGGAGAAAGCTCGTTGGCTTGTGGTTTTGCCTATTTCTTGATCTATACGGTAATGTCTGATGTTCGGAAATTTCTGTTTTTAATTCATTTGTTCNGAAAAACAAAAGAAAAAGGTTAGTAGGTTGCTTCTTGTCGGTGTAGCAGGTTAGTTACCTGTTGTCAGTTATCTGAACTGAATTGCGTGCCTTACGAGGTGTACTGCGTGGACAGTCCAGAGGTCCACTTGAGATTACTTCGAGGGTACTCAAGGTTTCTGTCCACTGCCGAGGTGACGTCCATGGCGAATTTATCTAGTTTTTGCTT